GATCGGAGCAGCATTTCCCCTATGTCCCTACCTTAGGTAGTATTTCCAGCCGTGGGTTTAGGGGTGCGTCGGCCCATGGTTGGTGCGTCCTGCAGGGGGCAGACTGGGTAATCGTGACCCGCTCCCTGTCCGCCGAGGAGTGCCTCGAGGCTAAGGATTGGTGTGGCACGGTAGGCCGCGGTTTTGCGCCGCTGCCTGGGTTGCTTGGCGGCTTGAAAAAAGGGCATCAAACTGCTCGCCCCAACGTCGTGGTGCTGGAAAATGCACTTTGTTTTGCCGGATGGCCCCTGTGTCGGGTGATTTTAGCGAGATTGTGGTCGGCAATCTGGGAGCTGCGTGAGATGGCGTCTATACAGGTTGGTCGTCAGGCTCCGCCCCCAAACTTTGGATGTTTTAACTCTTTCATGAATCCGTGAGTGCTGGTCACCTGTTGCAAATTGGATATTTGAACTTCCCCAGGACTACAAGCACCCGGTATGTAACCATTTAGTTAGAGTGCAAGGATACTATGTATTTGTATATATATATATATATATTATTATTTTTTTTCTCTTATAGCATTTTACCTGAATAGAATTTATATTTGCCTCCTGCAGTTGTTTTGCTTACAGACTCATGTCTGATTTTTATTTATTAAACCTGCACACAGTCCTTTTGTCCCCGTACTAGCAGCTCTGCTCAGTGCTTGTATTGGGCTTCTATAACTCATGTAAGGTAATCTTCACAGTGTTTGTATGGACCAGAGGTCAGAACATGGGCATTTACATCAGCAGTACCAGAATTCACGGTCGTCTCATTTCTGACAGCCTTGCAGAATTGGGGGGAAAAACCTTTCCCATCATCTTTCTCCCCGTTACACAGGGCCAGATAAGTATGAAAAAGGCCACTGTGGAATTCCACAGGGTTATTCACTAAAGTAATTATTCTTGGGAACTTAAAGTGAATTTAAAACTTTAGGCCAGAATAGACAAACTAGACATATGATATAAGTCTGCTATCCTTCCAGTTTGGCTACTTTGGCCTTACATTTTTTATTTACTTTAAGTTCCTGACAGTGAATTGACATGTAAAGGTACCTTTCCAATTTAATGTGTTTTCATCTATTCTGGTCCACTTCTCTTTTGTTGTTAAGGTCACAGACGTTGTTGGCCTTCTCCTTTGACTCACTCCAATCCCTGGTTATCTGCTTTCTGCTGACATAACAGATATTCAGACTTTTTTTTTCTTCACATACTGATGACTCTAAGCACAAGATCCTTTCTGTGGGTAAATCGGTGTTTGGGGCTTTAAAGCCCTTTTCCACTATGGATCCTTTGTTGGTTTAAACATCAGCAGATGCTTTCTCTTAATAAATGAGTGTGCAATCTCTGCTCTAGAAGATGTTCCTTTCCATTTTGGGTTTAACCAACAAGATTTAATCATGCTTATCCCATTGATTCTTTTAAATCAACCCTTTTTGGTTTCCACCGTTCAGATGGACCATGTCTACTGTAGATTTGGAGAACCGTTGTTTCTGTGCAGGGTAGTTTGTTCAAGACCATGTGGCATTGTTTCACTGTTACTTAAAATATGTATCTTGTCTAATAAACTCACCAACAATCTCTGCTCTAGAAGATGTTCCTTTCCATTTTGGGTTTAACCAACAAGATTTAATCATGCTTATCCCATTGATTCTTTTAAATCAACCCTTTTTGGTTTCCACCGTTCAGATGGACCATGTCTACTATAGATTTGGAGAACCGTTGTTTCTGTGCAGGGTAGTTTGTTCAAGACCATGTGGCATTGTTTCACTGTTACTTAAAATATGTATCTTGTCTAATAAACTCACCAACATTTGTTAGCCATATTTCTTCAGCACAGGTCATCTTGTACGTTTATTTTATTCATTATAAAAGTCCTGCCATCCAGATTATGTTTATTAGGCTTTCAATATTATGTTATTTATATAGTGTCATCAAATTCCGCAGAGCTTTACAATGGGTGGACGAACAGACATGTAGTTGTAACCAGACAAGTTGGACACACAGGAACAGAGGGGTTCAGGGCCCTGCTCAATGAGCTTACATGCTAGAGGGAGTGGGGTAAAATGACACAAAAAGGTAAGGATAGTATTAGACTAGTGACGGTTGCAGAAGAGGAATCAGTTGGGAGCTATTAACAGTTTAATTGATACGCTTTTATGAAGAAGTGGGTTTTTAACGATTTTTTGAAGGAGTGAAAACTGGGTGAGCATCTAACGGAGGAGGGAAGAGAGTTCCACAGGAACGGTGCAGCCCTCGAGAAATCTTGAAGGCGAGCATCAGAGTTGGGAGTACGGACAGAAGATAGACTTAAGTCTTAAGCAGATCGTAAGGGCCTAGATGGGACATACTTGTGTATAAGGGAGGATAGATAGGTGGAAGCAGCATTATGTAGCGATTTGAAAGCAAGAACCAGAATTTTAAATTGAGCTCTATATTTTATAGGAAGCCAATGTAGGAACTGACAGAAGGGTGAGGCATGTGAGGTGCGGGCGGACAGGAAGATGAGCCTCGCTGCCGCATTCATTATGTACTGTAATGGCGCAAGTTGGGAGCACATAAGACCACTGAGAAGCGGATTACAGTAGTCGAGGCGAGAAAGGACAGTGGAATGGGCCAACACCTTAGTCGCATCTGGCGTTAAGTAGGGGCGGATGCACGCAATGTTTTTGAGATGGAAATGACAGGATTTGCCTATAGATTGAACATGAGGCTTGAAGGAGAGGTCGGAGTCAAAGAGAACACCTAGGCAGCGAGCCTCTGTGGTGGAGCTGATGGTAGCACCATTGACTTGGAGGGAGACAGACACAGTAGTAACAACACTTCAGGGAGGAAAGACCAGAATTTCAGTTTTGGTCAAGTTTAGTTTAAGGAAGTGGGCAGCCATCCAGTTAGAAATAGCAGAAAGGCAGTCAGACACTAGTCAAGAGGGACAGGTAGAGATCAGGAGAGGACAGGTAGATTTGCGTGTCATCTGCATAGAAGTGATATTGGAAGCCTAAGGAGCTAATGAGTTTACCAAGGGAGGCAGTATAGATGGAGAACAGTAGGGGACCAAGGACTGAACCTTGGGGGGCACCAACAGAGAGGAGTTGGGGAGAAGAAGCAGAGCCAGAGAAAGAAACACTGAAAGAGCGCTGGGAGAGGTAGGAGGAGCACAAGGAGAGAGCAATATCTTGTAGACCGATATTGCGGGGGATGAGAAGAAGCTGTTGATGATCAACAGTGTCAAAAGCTGCAGATAGGTCAAGGAGAATTAGGATAGAGTAGTGACCACGAGATTTTGCAGCGAGTAGATAATTGGATACTTTGGTCAGTGCCGTTTCCATAGAGTGCTTAGCGCGGAAACCAGAGAGAGTTGGACTCGAGGAAGTCTGTCAATCTCGCATACACAATTCTTTCAAGGATCTTGGATGCAAAAGGCAGTAGCGAGATAGGACGATAGTTGGATGGGGAGTTAAGGTCAAGGTTGGGCTTCTTTAGAATTGGGGTTACAGTTGCACGTTTGAAGGGCGATGGAAATATGCCAGAGGCGAGAGGGAAATTGAGAATTTAAGTGAGAGATGGAGAAAGAGAAGACAGAGTAAAGATGAGATGGCAATCACATGGAAACTAATAGTGCTGTTATCCTTACAGCCTAAAGGGTTACAAGTTTTACTTTTACGGCACATACCCTGAGCAGTGTCGTCAGGCAGGCAGTTTTTTCCCCGCCACTGGGGATCACAACTGACGGCTTGAGATTTGCACCTCCTGCAGGAGCAGTCTTCAATAATGACCCCCTTTGCAGTCCAACGCTTTCTAGTGAGTCTTCCAGATGATCCCAGCTTGCACTTTGACTCACTGAATGCCAAACTGCAAGGAAGTGATTACTGAAGTCAGTATCTGCAGCTAGTGCAACCCCTTATAGACCACCAGGCGGGGTTAACCCCTGCTGTACCACCAGAGTGTATGACCCCCAACCCCTTTGTGCCATCAGGAATCATACCTCCCCTTCCTTGAAGAAAGCCAAGCACAGACAATACACACATACAACTTGTATTTTTGAGCTGAAGTTTGGACAGAGGACGTAATGGGTGAAATTTCAGTGCTGGCCATAGACACGGTTTTCAGTAAATACAACTCTGATGAGGGAGAGTGTAAGATTTTATTACAAATACTGTCTAAGTCGTTATAGAGTCACTCTAAGCACCCAACAACTTCATCTAAATAAAGTGGTTATGGTGGAAACACCCTGTCCATGCAGCCTCTTTTTAAAAATGTTTTATTCCAGAGCGAAGTTATTTTTTGGGGGGGAGGATGGGGGGAGGGCACTTGCCCCCTGCCCCCCACCCCTGGATTTTTCAGCTTGTGCTGCTATTTTTCGTGTGAGATTGAAAATGCACTGCAATACCAGCGCCGGCCAGTAGGTGGCTGTGTATGGAGAGAGACGGGGATAGGAAGCTACATCTATCCTTGCTTCTCTCTGCTGACTGAAAACACAGGGGAGCAGCACATGCAGCCAGAGACAGCCTACAGATCAGGTAAGTGAGGCATGAGGGGGAGAGAGAGCCTACAGATTAGCAAAGTGGGTGGGCAGCCTATAGATTAGGGAAGTGAGACATGGGGGGCAGCCTATAGATTAGGGAAGTGAGACATGGGGGGGCAGCCTATAGATTAGGGAAGTGAGGCATAGGGGAAGCCTATAGAAGAGGGTAGTGAGGCATGGGGGGCAGCCTATAGATTAGGGATGTGGGGGGCAGCCTATAGATCATGGAAGTGAGGCTTTGGGGCGCAGCCTGTAGATTAGGGAAGTGAGGCATGGGAGGGCAGCCTGTAGATTAGGGAAGTAAGCCATGGAGGGGCAGCCTATTGCTTAGGGAAGTGAGGCATGGGGGTAGCCTATAGATTAGGGTAGTGAGGCATGTGGGGGGCAGCCTATAGATTAGGGAAGTGAGGCATGGGGGGCAGCCTATAGATTAGGGAAGTAAGGCATGGGGGCAACCTATAGATTAGGTAGTGAGGCATGGGGGCAGCCTATAGATTAGGGAATTGAGACATGGGGGCAGCCTATAGATTAGGAAGTTAGATATGGGGACAGCTCATAGGATTAGGGAAGGTGAGGCATGGGGGCAGCCTGTAGATTAGGGAAGTGAGGCATGGGGGGGCAGCCTGTAGATTAGGGAAGTAAGGCATGGGGGGCAGCCTATAGATTAGGGAAGTAAGGCATGGAGGGGCAGCCTATTGCTTAGGGAAGTGTGGTATGGGGGTAGCCTATAGATTAGGGTAGTGAGGCATGTGAGGGGGAAGCCTATAGATTAGGGAAGTGAGGCATGGGGGCAGCCTATAGATTAGGGAAGTGAGGCATGGGGGGCAGCCTATAGATTAGGGAAGTAAGGCATGGGGGGCAGCCTACAGATTAGGGAAGTGAGGCATGGGGGCAGCCTATAGATTAGGGAAGTGAGGCATGGGGAGCAGCCTACAGATTAGGGAAGTGAGGCATGGGGGCAGCCTATAGATTAGGGAAGTGAGGCATGGGGGCAGCCTATAGATTAGGGAAGTGAGGCATGGGGGCAGCCCATAGATTAGGGAAGTGAGGCATGGGGGTCAGTCTATTGCATCAGGATGTGCACCCTAAAGCACAATCACACGCCACGTATGTATGTTATGTATATATATATATTATATATATACACACACACACATACATACACTGCTGTGTGTGTGTGCTGTGTGTATCAGGGTGCGGTGTGTGTGTGTGTATTGGGGTGCTGTGTGTGAGGGTGATGTTAATGTGATGTGTGTGTGAGGGTGCTGGTAGTGTGCTATGTGGGTGAGGGTGTTTGGGTGTTTGTTTGTCAGGGTGCTGTTACTGTGCTGTGTGTGAGGGTGCTGTTTGTGTGCTGTGTGTGAGGGTACTGGTAGTGTGCTGTGTGTCTGAGGGTGTTTGTGTGTGCATGTTTGTTAGGGTCC